TTGGGGGGGGGGGGGGGGGGGGGGGGGGGTCGATATGGGGACAAGCTTACTGTATGTATGATATCGTAGCAGTTAATCTATACGCGTTCAATGCATTATCGGGATTTTATGTCATTTGTTTAAGGACTTTATAAGATATCACAACTGCCCCTTTTGCCCTTTTTGCAACTCATTTAAAGTGGGGGGGGGGGGGGGGGGGGTTCTTGAAGAGATTTTCTCTTCACACTTGTTATCTATATAGCTTGGTGTTACGATGATGTGAAATTCAGATCAAACAAATTTACCCTTTGATTTACAATCAGGACACTTTAAATAATGTACTTTTTAAATGAGTTTTTAAATCTAATATAAAAAAGCAATGATAACACATCTGATATCAGCGCGTTAACAACATTTACAAATCAGCAATATATTCTAACATAGCGAATATTCTGAATTTAGATACTATATTCAATTTACCTGCTGAGTTATATTAACTATTATAAGATACCTGATGAATCTTACTCTAGTACTACAGCCAGTTTTCAGGCTATACAATGCAAGGTCATGTATTTAGCATCGTTATAATCCCAAATGCAAAGCCCCAGTAGCCAGGAGGATACCCTTGTAACCCTTCGGTTGATTTCTATTTATCAAAATCTATCAATTGAAAGGAGAGTTTTTGCCGAATATTTTAGAGCATTTTTACGTCATGGATACGTGACGCCCTATTCTGTGTGTGACGTCGTGTTATTTGTGATGGTTGTTAAACATAAATCCATGGTAATGATGACTTATATTTTAACGATATTATGCATACTGTTAAAGTAGAAATGTCTAAGGTGTGGAAATTACCGCGAAAATATCAAGTCGCGAATATTTACTAACAGATCATTTATATGATATATATAGAGAGAATATGTAGATTTTAAACCCGTTGCCAACTCGAAAATTTCCACACCGCGAAAAGTTAAAACTGTCAGAACGCGAACATTTCCACACGCGACAATTTCCATTTTTACAGTATTTTAAAACAATCGTAGCTATATAATAAAAGTTATACAACACAGATTAGTTCATCTGACGTCTAACACTGCACTCGTGTATTCGTTCAGACTAGAGCCCTCGTGAAATATATCCTACCACTCAATGCACGCGTGTGCAATCTGGGATATCAGTTGAACGCAATCATATATCTATATTTTATAGATACCACTGTAACATTCTTACCATACAGTTATTGAATCCAAGTCCATAAAAGTTGTACTGGCAAGTGCTATGTTATAAATCAATTTTGTTTATTGCCTCTTTAGTTTTGCGATACTTTTACTCAAGCACACGCAGAGACTATAAGAATATTTGTCTCACATCAGTGGAATTGAAATTAAGGTACGTATTATCAGCAAACAAATATAATTAAATGTCAATTTGCAAACAAAATTGGATAATTCTTTTCGTGCGCAAATATTGAACATCAGACAGAAGTAAAGTAGTCATGATATATATCTTGCATAACAATTTTACATTCATATACCGACTTATTCAAGAGATATTAAGTATACTTTTCTGCTCATATTAATATCATATTCGATGGTTTATTGTATTTCATAAACTGTGAAGACACAACAGCGAAAACATTTCCACATTTTCAAACTTTGAAATACTTTTGCTTATGATTCAAATTAAAATATGTATATCATAAGATTTGTTCTTAATATTAATTTTTTAATCTACATTACTTTTCTTAGAGTAACATCTCTTTCCATGATTGAATATTGTAATGTTTGCAATTCAAACTCTGTTCTTTAATCAGATATATACTATTTATAATTGTAAAATAATTTTTAAAAAGCACTTACCTTAGCACCAATTTGGTTGCCACACTGGCCAACCTGCATATGAACAATTTCCCTCATGATAGTTTGTGTGATGTTACCGGCAGGTTTCTCGTTATCGGGCCCTGACAGCCTTTACTTTCTCATATAGAATGTCTAAGACAATGGTATCACGTGATCTGAATATATATATCGTCAAAAATCGACCTATCACAACCATACCCTTCCGCTCATGTAGTTCCAACCTGATCGCGTCAGGTGTAAATGTCGATGCGCCGTTCAGGTGACCTCTGGTGACCTAAGTTTCACTGACAATGCTCTGTTTATAGTTACTACGACGGTCGCACCTTTTTCAATATTTGAAGCGGATGGATATCGGCGCACGACCAAACCTGAATTGACAACGCGTAGTTCTTCAATAATCTTGACTACAGTAAACATTTAAGCACAACTTATAAACTATCTCCATACGTCTAGTTGCCAAGAAACTTTATATCATCATGCTACCCGACTTCACGCGGGTTCATGTTAAACATTTGTTTAGTATTACGGGAACATTTGTTTTTAGTATTTGAATTCCTCACACTTGTTTTTTACAATTTATAAAGGAATTTCCATCAGCAATAAGTCAGATGTCAGTAAGTGTGAAGTTATCGTAATTAAGGTTCAAGGTGATAAATGTCGTCAATCATTCGTGTTTCAAATGACATCCGGGCACATGTGTCAGACATATGGATATGTTATTATTATTTTAATTAACCTTACCCAGTGACTTCCTCTTTCGCCTTGAGTTAATGAACTATAAAGGGTGTTCAAACATAGCATGCGTGGTATTTTTAAGTATCATATATTTAACTTACCACTCTTACAACAATAAAATACTATTTTTGTTATTTAAATTTCACATACTAAACGACATTACGATTGATGAACAAAGACAAATTCAAAACGAAAAAATGGGTTTTGACGAGTTTTGGAATAGTACTTGGCCTTTGTCGAGGTCACAGATGTCGTTAGCTTTGTGTCATAGCTTGATGTTATTAATAATATTTGTTTTGTGAAACATTTCCTCATCTATACTTTTTAATTAAGTGTAATGATATTGCTAATTGACTACTAGTAAATATTCTTCGTGTGTGTACGGATGGGGTTTATGAAACTTTGATATTTTAGCATTTATTGTATTGAACTAGATAACATATTTCAATTAAGTTAAATGTAAGGTAACCACTGTCCGGATTGTCATACGTCACCATTGAAGGATAAACAAGACTGATACACCCGTACATCGCTACACTTTCAGAGAATATATTTATTGAGCAATCATTGAGACCACAACGATGCAAAGGAGCCATCAATATAAACTGAAAGACAACACAACAATAAACACTCCTCATCAAACCATAAAAGACAAAAACAAAGCAAAATGTATCCTCAGAAATCCTCGGAGGCACAAATAAAGTGGTCTTGAATGGAATTCGTTTTCTGTACCACTTGTGTCAACCGTCAAAAATCATAGCTTCATCCAGTGAAGTGTGTTAGTATCGTACGATTTAAGAAAACGTGATGGCGAGAGTAGAATTTACTCAGCTTAGATCACTGTGGTAATGACAACAAAACAAGTATGATAAAAAGCATCGACCTTCCCATCACACAAAGAAATTGCATATACCCTAATGAGATCATAATGGCCGCAATAAAGCTTATCCATTGTCTTCCTCAACCTGCATCTTTTGAAACTCTGTGTTGTAAGTTTCAAAATTTATCACGGAAGTCATGTATTCGGAGGAAGCTCTTGAATATCGAATCGATGCGACATGTTAACAGGGGGCATACTATCAATAAAGGGAAACTGCACGATCGGAAAATCGCAATTGACTTGTCTATCTTGCAGCTTAGAAGCAAGCCGTCCCCGTTGGTAATGTTGTAAAAGGTCGAGGAAAGCGAAGAAAAGTATTTAGTTTCCTTACTTTCAAGCTGAACATCAGTCAACGAATGCGTCTCGTCGGTTTTCGTCTGAGAGCTGGTAGTGCAAAGAGTCGAAAACTCAAAAGCTTTGATAGAGTAAACATTTTAGGGAAGATATATTCCACTTCTTAAGAGTACTGTGTCCCATACGGCTGTAACCCAGATTGATTGTACTGAGAATGGAAGTAAGAAGTGTATCTGAATTTTGCGTGAATTTTAACAAGAAAATACGAAATTCTCATTCTCATCATCCAAATTTGTATGCCGCACCTGAAGTTAAATATTGTACTCTGAACTCAACACAACAGCGAGCAGTTCTTGCAAAATAACATCATACACTTAACGGCCATAATTCGACCGTGTGTCTTTTGATATATGACGAAGAGTAACATAACGATATACATATATGACGTATACACTATTTATGATTAATCTAACATACACAGCAAGGATGTCTTCGCCAGATGTCACTTATGATACCATTCTGGGGTCGGGATGTGTGCATTAACACAGTCAACTAATGTACTTGGGGATACGTCCGATTCATCAATACGTACACCAATCACATTATAGTACTACGTACATGTGTTTTAGTACCATCCATGGAGACACATTTACTGGTACAGTTTATTAACCCATGCCTTAGCCACAATGACGAGCTTTATGTGTCCAGCACTGTATTATGAAATATATCTGGGCGACGAATTCACATGAGCTCCAGACTTGTTTTAAGTCCCTCCTATACTCGTTCATGTGTAGTGGTTAAAACATATACAAAGGAACGAATCGCAGATACCCAGGGCTAACTGAAACGTATAATTTATACAACACGTAGCTAAGTTACGTTTGAGATTCGGAATTGACTCCTCCACTTTATCCGGAGTAATGTTGTACCTGCAGGTACAATTATTGAACAAAAACGATGCAGTGATGTTTGAAACATAAAATGAAATGGGAACACAAAAATGTATCAAAACAGTCATATGAAAGCTATATCTTTACAGTTTACAGACTTCAACAAGTTCGTAAACTCTATACAAGGCATTTGAAGGTGACAAATACCGATATTATTTTCACAATAATGCTGTAACGGTAGCTACCACCGTGTGTTGTACGTTTCCGGTAGCTACCGTTATTGAATGTAAACAACGAATGAGGGCTTTGCAGTTCACAGTAAAGATACCTGGAGAGATAGTTCACCGGGTCACACGGAGAAAGCCATTGGGGTCCTTTCATGGGGTATTATCGGGATTATCAAGAAGATAAAGCCGACGAGACATCGCCAACAGCACGCCAATGCTTGGTTGAAGGTTTACACATACCCACCGACAAGAAAGTGAGACGACTCATCTAAAACGATGAGAATCTTTTGATGAAATTCATGAAATTTTATTTTTCAAATCAAGCGAAAGATTCTTAACTTTTAAAGTACAAGCAACCGATGTTATTGGGGGGTAAGTTGGGAAAATATGTATATATCTGGGGTAATATTGGGGAATATGACCTGTTTTATTTATTTATTAAATTGGCGTTGGTAAAAGGCAGGCAATACGATCATCATATTTCCTAAATTGAGATTATATATGCTTCAGTCACCAAATAGTTTATTTATTTTTTAGTTTGATGTCTTTATATCAAATATGATATCCTTCACATTATTTAGTTGAACTGCTCGGATAAAATAATTTCTATTCAATACCAATGTAAATCACAAAGAGCATGTTCATGCTTGTATTTTTATCTTTAAGCAATCATTTGACGCTAGTATCAATTGTTACAAATTTGACGTTTGAAAAATTGGATATTCTTGCATAAAACTGTCACGTATAAATCTAATGCGAACAACACTATAAAATCAAATTTGAAACGAAATACAATCGACTGATATTGCATCCCCGGTGATTTTCAAGATTTCATAATAAATTGTACTTTTTCCCCTGGTGACATTGAAGAGCTGTTATAAATAATTATAGGTGGACTTAGATGTAAACCCTCTCCTCGTTACTTCTCACGATATACTTATTTCTATTAGAGCATTGTGTCACCAACCACGCCAATATTGATAAATCCTGTCTTTATACATTGCAAGTGTTCAAAGGCACTTAAACCCCACCAGATAAACAGGATACAAGCTTCCCATTAAGATATTTACTTTACAGAAAAAAAGTTGTGAACTGAAACTCAAAAGTCAAATCTCAAATCATTACCCAAGACGAAACAATTTGTTTTGTACGGGTAAACCTGTACAATGTAATTGTGGTGAATTTAAAAGCATCATAGGAACAAATAAGGGCAGGTTCATTCAGAGTAGATGTAAGCCTCTCTTGTACATTACCTTAGATACGTAATATATTGGTCAACAGGTCGTGTCCATTCTAGTCATTGTGATATTAACACTTAACTAGCATGGGAATTAGGAAAAATCGATTTATTTCCTTCAAATAAATACTGTACGTATTTTTAATATCAATCAAGTTAAATACTTATATATGTAAAAACAATCAAGTTTTTTTCAAACTTTTTTATATAAAATGAAATTATATATTACACGTCATCACAAACAGAAATGCAACTCTTGTCCTCACCAGCGAGAAAAGTGTTAGTATCTAGCCATTATGTCTGCTGTCATTAATCAGGCATGTATGTGATTTTTTTCTTTTTAATCAAGTCCAAGAAAATAAAAATATTTTTCTGTTCAAATCCAAATAAATAAAATGTCATATAAATGTAATAAAGTCTTGATACAGATCATACTGGTCGTTGGTCGGTGTTTTTTCTCCGGGAACTCCGACTTTCCTCCACCATCTAAACCTTAAATCACCATAGCTGTTAATAAAATGCAAAACACAAACATACCAAACCAAAATGATACAGAGTGTACAAAATTTGACATGGGAAAATGAAATAATGAGTATGCATATTTTTGTATCACTGTAGTCAACGTTTAGTAATATTATTCATTTCGCTATTAAGATCAGTGCATGAATTACCTTGGATATGTAAAATGATGATATATATATAAATACTTGTCTTTGTGTGGGTTATATGTATATATATATATACTATGTGGGCCTCGTTTAAGTGATTTTGTTCAATATAAATGCACATGTTGTTTAAAAGTAAACAAAGATTGTCCTAGAGACTATGTACATCACGTCTC